CAAATTCACATTCGACACATGCCATACACTCGCACCGACACTCAGAAAAAAACCCAGGTAACTCTTGAAGCCAATCATCGAATTTCCAGAGAATCTACTGTTTTTGGTTTTTTCTCAGCGTGTTTTAAGCTTTGCTGATTAAACATACCTTTCCTTTAACTGCAAAAACATCTGTAAAAAAAGCCTAACTATAAAGATAAGATAATAATATTTTATTGGCATATCTCTTCCGTCAGTAATAAATTTTATCGTTGCTTTCTTCAAGCTCGTTTCTTCAATGATAAAGTAATCTATATAAGGAGACGACTTCTGCTGCATTTTCGGCGATTTTTCACTTTTATAATATTTCAATTCAATGGCTATACGCACTCAAGTCTAAAACGCAACGACAGGTAAGGAATCAATCAGAAAAGAGGAAATCAGGAATCTGTGTATCAGGGGCATCTGGATGTATGTAGGCGTAGGAGTGACGGCTTCACTGTTGATGACAGTGAAGGGAACACTCGTAATCGCAACTCGACACCGATCCTACAGTCACACTCAGACATCCAAAAGCACAACCATGGGTGTGGATGTTAGTCTTGACTCAACGTACACCAGCACCCAGATTCTCATAGCCACAGCCACATATGATGAGAACGAGACTTGATATCTTTTTTTCAACCACTCACCCGAATCTACAAAGTGGTCAAAAACTTCTCATAGTTTTTGAATAGATAGACGAATATCAGTTGATTCTTCTATAGAAGCCAAACTTTATTTTAACATGGTTTTTAAATATTTAAAATAACGAAAAATTGCGTTCAAATTGAAATATATTCTATGTTTAAGTTTCAGTCTTGCTTTCCATGGTACACTTGTAACGAGAATTTTTGTTTTTATTGTTCTATTTCAGAGTAACAGCACTCGAATCAATGCTAATAATTTATCAGAAATATAAAGCCAATATGCTGCGTATTCAGATATCCATATCTATTACAATATATTCATATTCTGTATGCCTTCATTTGTCTATAGTAAGAGATGTATCCCTGAGAATTTTAGACAGGCATCGATAACTATCGATCAAAGTTTTCGAGCATCTGTGGAGTTCATTTGCGTATCCTTCAACGAATCATAACTAAGACAGTGTGATTTAAGGACTTTAGCGTACATCGATACTCACAATAAAATTGTTTTAGTTCCACAATAGCACAGTCAGTTTCAATCGAATTCGGATCATAGATAGTCTGGATATGGAATTACGAAAGCGGAAATTTTCGACTCATAAAGTTTTTGCCTTCATAGGTTATCCAGTTCGTAGTGGAACGGAATCGCTCATATCATTACTCTGCTGTGTGTAGTCGAATAGCGACACGGTTTTGTAAGCATCATATATGATTCATACGATTGAAAATGCAGTGAACGAAGAGAATGAGGAAAAAAACGATCTTCGTGGGATTCAAGCCCACATCTCCTGCTATCCGGACAAATGTCCTAACCCAATTAAACTAGAAAGCGTGTCTTAAACTTGGTTTAGCATCGCAGTGTATCATCATTGACGCTAACAGGTTTTTGTTGCTGATCTAGATTTATTGGGTGGAATGTGAGTGTAAGTAAGAGTTAAGAGAAGAGCCATATTGATGCTGCTTCGTTCAAGAAAGAACATAAGAGAGATAAAAAATAAAAAGTGAGCGATATATTTGTTTACTTTAAATGGCTCAAGAGAGAAAAACTACATTACTGTAGTGAATATATTGACTGCTGAGTCAGTTTTGTGGAACTCACATTTTTTTCGAAGAAAATGATGAGAGTAATTTTAAGAGCGAATTTTCGTGGCTCCCACTCCTGCTAAACCCCTCTCCATTACAGACCGTAGCAACGAAGAATAATAGGCGTCACATTTTTTAGATTTTGTTGCAAAGTTGATCAAGTTATAATTTTGAAAAATAATAAATATTACTACTTGTGAGTTGATTAACATAAATAATAGTGCTTGAGACCTGCTGTAAATATCATGAATATGTAAAACAGACATATTTGTCAATTAATTTAATGATTATAATAATAAGAATGTTAAATTAAGAAAAAAAGAACTTTAAAAAATGAAAATTCTTTTCGAAATGCAGAAATTAGAGAAGTCATTACTCTGAATATCAATTATCCTGCAAGCACCTATAATCTACGAGAGATTTATCACTTTATATGTTATGTATTAGTTTAATTAGGCTAGATAGTATATATGAGTTCTATATTTCAGCCTCAAAGTAGCTGCGCTAACAAGCTTTTTTATGAAATAAAAGTAACAAAAATGGCTTTGATGGAGCCAGGAATCTTGATACTCATCTTGTTACCGGCATATTGTCGTTTTCAGGTATTAATACAGGACTTTTTGCCACTTTCAATCGCTTGCTTTCAAATTTCAGACATTTTGAAACTTGGGGACACTATACTAATACTTTGATCAGACTATAGATAATGCTATAAGAATATTTAGCTGGGCAAAGCGAGTACGGAGAATGTTGATGATATCATGTCGATATAAAGCATATTTTTAACATGCTTAGAAGAATACTATGTTGTTTGTCGAACGACACTTTGGTCGACAGACTTTTCGTCGAAGTAACTTTGTCGAAATTTTTTTGTAGAAAAGCATTCCGTCGAAAAACATTTCGTCAAAAAGATATTTTGTCGAAATTTTTTTGTAGAAAAGCATTTTGTCGAAAGTGAATTATTTTCTTCTTATTTATCTCGCCGTCAGGAGAAAAGTTCAAAAGTATCTCCTAATTAACTTTGTCCCTTTGGCGATGGTGGAAGAATTTCAGCGCACTATTGAATAGAATTACATACTTTTCGTCGAAAAGTACTTCAAGGCAAGGTTTGTAGTCCCCGACACAATTCCGGATCCTTCAATTCTTCTACAGAACTGTTAAAAGTTAAGAGGACAGTGAATTTTCATTCACACTCACGTTTGTAGTGCCCTTGCCCTCACCCTCACATTTGGAGTGTCTTGCATGGCTGTTGCCCTCACAGTCATGCTCACTCTCACTCACCCTTGCCTTCACGCCATGGTCACCTTCGCATTTGTAGTCCGCCTACATGGTCCTTACCCTCACCCTTACGCTCACCTCACCTTTGCATTTGGAGTACTCTCCATAGCCAAGAAAATACTTTCGACGAAAAACAGGTATCTATCTGAGTTTATTGATGAAGTGCTTTGTCGACGAAGTGTCGTGTCGACGAAATGTTTTTCGACGAAGTGTCGTGCCGACGAAATGTTTTTCGACGAAGTGTCGTGTCGACGAAACGCTTTTCGACGAAGTATCTTGTCGATGAAATGGCTGTCGACGAAGTGCCGTGTCGACGAAAATTTTTCGACAATAATTTTTCCACCAACTGCCTTTCAACAAAAATTTTTCGACGAATAACATGATTACCTGCTTAGACTATGCAATTTCCGTAGGGATTACCGAATATGGGAATCTACATTTTCAACTCTTGAAGAATAATGGTTCGTTTCATTCCGCTTCTTAACGTGCCGACCACGAATCATTTACCATTTCTAGTACTTCTAATATCCTATCTTCAGTGCAACTCATTCTTTCAGTAGAGGGTTAGCAGCGTTCGCGCTGCGTTACTTGTTAATTGTTGCTCGCAAATCATATCTGTATGAAAATGAAGGTTTATGCTTATAATGTTTTGTTCATTATATAATAACAGAAATAGGGATTAGGAGAGACTCTGTGTCAGTTATTAATCTCAGAGGTTTGTTTCAATTTATGAAAGTACATGTTTTTTCTCAGATGAAACTCTTACTCATTCTCAAATTAGGATCGATGCTTTCTGATATTGACGGCTATGTCACTGCAATTTGTTTAACAGCTACCAAAACATATGGTTCTTTTACTGGTCCTGATGATTCAGTGATAATGCAATATTTGAACGATGCCCAAATTCACAGAGTCGCTTCATTTCTTTAATCCAGTGAAGTTGAACAAATTAAAAAGAACCTATATCAATCAATTTAGCGAGTATGTGTATACGCCCATAAATCATCAATCAAATCGTCTTTCGATGTAGTTAAACTTATCTCACTAGCAAACATTCTGACGAGATATTCTATTCAAGTGCCCAACTCTGATTCAGTTCATTCATACATTATTTGATAGAGCTCATCGAGTTGTACTTGGAACACTAATGGAACATTTGGAACATGCTCCTGGACGAATCTTGGCAGGTTTTACTATAGAGAATCCTGCATTCTTGGTTTGATGCACGAATATTTTTGAATTTTTTCCGACACAGTTTGAGCTACGGAAAATCTGAATATACAATTCAATAGAGCTCATTGGGTTATACTTGGAACACGAATGAAACACTTGGAACATCCTCCTGGACGAATCTTCGCAGGTTTTACTGCATAAAGTCCAGGATTTTTGTGGTGATACACTACTATTATCAAATTTTCTCAGGCTCAGTTTGAGTTTTGGAAAATCTGAACACACCATTCGATAGAGCGCGTCAAGTTGTACTTGGAACACGAATGGCACACTTGGAACATGCTCCTAAGCGAATATTGGCAGGTTTTAATAGATGGATGCAAAATCGCCCATGGTGAAAATCTAGTATTTTCTGGTTTTCTTGGACTGTGTTTGAGCTATCGGGAATTGGAATACACCATTCGATAGAGCTCATCGAGTTGTATTTGGAACGCACCCTGGGACAGTTGGAACATGTTCCGGGGCGAATCTTGGCAGGATTTACTCGAATCTGATGCTAACTTCACTTACGTAAAAACAAATGGTTTATGATTATTTATATATTTTTGATTGCATACAAGACTGACAATTATTTAATGATCACAGTGTAAATTAAACATTAACAAAAAAATCAAAAAAAAAATTTAAAAGAACTATTTCTTGATTGTGTCTAGATAAATCATAGCTGGATCCGTTGTATAATAAAGTTAAATATAAAGATGTGAATACTAATAAATTAAAATAGAATTTATAATATCCATTTTATACTTCACTATCGAATACGAGTAATACGGAAAATTTTTCTTGGAAGATATGCCATGTTTTAGCTTTATGCGGATTATCTAATTCTTCACGTTTTAATAAAAGTCTATAAGATAAAAAAGGAACAAAAGATTTATCAAAGAAATGTCTTATTATACATACGAATTATTTTCAATAAATGATGTATTAAGCCAAAAGTAAAATGCACAATTATCATAATTTTTTGGTACTTTCTAATAAAAATAAAGAATATTTAGTTCTATTAATTATGTGAAATAGCGATTACTTTATTAGTAGAAAAGAACATTATTTTAACATCGCCTTTCAATGGAGATAAATGAATGTCCGAAATAGTTATTGTATCTTCTTCTTTATTATGTTCGTTCTACAGAGATAAAACAAAATGAATATGATAATACAAAAAAAAACAAAAATTAAAAATAAATCTTTCACCTTGCAAAGACTAATATTAACCCGACTATCTGGAGCTAATTGGAATCTACCTAATAATTCATCATAGTTTCCTACTGTAAAAAATAAATCACTACCATCACCATTGCCAACACCTAATATAAATATTAAAAAGAATTTGTCGTGTTTTTTTCTAAATTAAATAAAATTACTAGCTATTCCTCTGATAACAATTGTTTTTAATTTAAGGATTTTTGTTGGTGGCATTTGATGATTATAAACATGAAGAATTTTTTCATAATAACCAACATAACGTGTTTGTGACGGTGTTTCAACACCTTGGTATTGTTTACCATGACGTAAATCTGTTCGACCTTCGGCAAATAAAGTCAATGCTTCCTATAATGAAAATTTTTTTTTGTCTACAGTTATTTCAGTCAAATTATAAGTTAGATATGAGTTATCATTAATTTTATTTTTATTCTACCTGTAAAAACAGTGCAACATTGTTACTATATCAAACAAGTCTTTTTTTACTAGATTTATTAAGTAAGTGCTGTTTTGTACTTGGAAGAAAAAATGATCGGTGCCCGAAATGCTGATGCTAGAGATAAACAGAACTGTTTGGCACTTCGCACGCCTCTTTCTTTTCTTGCACGGTGAACACATTTCGAAAGTGCAAAAATCTTTTCTTCAGTGTTCTTCCAGCACGAATAGAATCATATGATGGCACAACGCTGTATAGACGTACGCTTGAGTGCGAGACAGCTCCGTCTATCTCTGGCTAATGTTGTTATATAATTACAACTTCATAGATTTATATATCTGTACAACTTCTTGTAAATTTTTTTCAAGTATAATAAATAAAAAATAATAAATAGGATACTATCTTCTTAGGAGTTTATTGACTTTTAATACTCAAAACCAGTTCAGAAAAAAATTCTCTTTGCAAATTTGACAAAAAACGACAAATGATATGTTACGTCTACTAGTAAGAAAGGGCGTAAAAGTGGAAAACTTAGATACTCTTCGTTTTCGAGACCGAAGCGGAACCAAGATATTCATCGAGTTTCCTAATGGATAGAATACTTTTGAACTTATTCTTTCAGGAGATGCACTCAAATATACTCCCGCTCTCGTCAGATTTAAACTTTTTATATACTTCTTTTCTGAAGATATTGAGTATGTAAAGATAAGAATACTGCATTAATTCATAAATAGGAAAAGTTTGACTACTGCTACCAATCATACCTCAGCTGTCTGACAAACACCAGTTTTTAATAGAGCAACAGATATCATTGTTCCTGTTCGACCTTTACCACCTTTACAATGAACAGCAATAACATTTTTTTCATTTTCTTCAAACCATGCAGTAACTGAATCAGCCATCCGAATCAGATCACTTTATTAAACAAATGAATACGAAAGTTTTTTTTTTGTTTTCTTAAATCTTTTTTCTTTACTTTAGTCTTGGTACATTATGATCATCAATTAGAATACGTTCAACTCGATTATGAAAATAAGCTGTATTGTAATAACGTTCGCCTAGAAATTTTTCTTATGATTAATCCATTTACTTATAAAAAAAACTTACTGCATAGATTGTATACACGATAATGATCGCCATAAGTTAAATCGAGATAATGACTGACATCCTAAAATAAAAATATGTATAGTTCTTTAATCAAATTTTCATATACTAAAAAGGTGAGAGCCTAATCACCCAGTGTTCGCGAGCAAAAAACGAAATACAGCCAAATTAAAGAAAATCATAATTTCCCATTTTTAAGAAAAAACCCGCAATCCTTCTATATTAATCTCTTTTTTTTTATCACTTACAACAATATCATTTCGGAAAAAAGCATCAGTGCCTTTACTTGGAAAAGACATAGCAATAATTCTATCTAAATAAATGTGTTTATACTTTTTTTAATATTTTTAATATAAGTATTAACTCCATGTTAAATACATTATTGAAAACCTATAGTAATCCACTTACCACTTATACAGCATAAGTCAAGATCAAATCCATTTCCAATAGTTCGTTTTTTATTTTGTCCAACTAAATGACGAGAACCCGTTTTGACATGTTCTCGATGACGAATAATACGTATTGTTCGAATTAAGTTGAATACCCGAAATAAACGTGGTAAAACAATAACTCTATGATAATAAAAACAAGAAATGTTAGAACATGATACATAGTAGTATTCATAGAAAATTATAAAAATCTTATCTTCTATTTTATCCAAAAATAATTTCAAGAATGTCAAGTTTTGAGAATGTTTTAGACTTTGATTTTTTTTTAAAATCTACTATATATTATCTGTTTCATATTGAAATTATCAATCTATTGGCTTTGCAAAGTTATTGGATACATAGAAATATTTAGAACAATAAAAACCTATTTTAATCCTATTAGTTTCTTAAGATTTTTACATACTTTCCGATCTGTCCTTGTTGATGTTCGACGAGTGGAGACATAATTATAATATTTACAACAAGGCCAGCAGTCATTACAACTAAATCAAGTATTTCGAGTTTCTTGTGAAAAAACTCTCGTCTATTTTAAAGCAGAGAAATAATCATATAGAAAAATAAAAATTCTATTTCATTTACCCTTGAGCAACAATACGAAGAAGAATATCCAACATAAAAATAACAGAGAGAATTAAACTCACTATATCCAATACGTGAGAATCCTCTAAAGAAACAAAAAGCTAATTATTCATGACTAGTTTTCAAACTTACTATCTTTAAATCCAAGTATTGTCGAAACAATAATAATAATCAAATCAGAAATAAATAAAATTGCAATAGCCAATCGAAAACCAATACTCTCTATTAAACGACGAAGTTTGTATTGAAATAAACTATTTAGATAATAATTCTATAAATACAAACTAAAAACTAAACTTTGTATACTCACTCAAATGATGTCTGTTTGACTGATTTTGGATCATCAACAGATAAAACACTAGATAAAAGACAAAAGTTATTAAGAGATTAAAGATATCAAATACACTTACGTTTCACCGAATGAAATCTTCACCTGACCGTCTGAATCTTCAGGAATCGGTGTTGATTGTTTGGCAGTATATAAAGGATTATCCATCTGAAATAATTATTTATTCTCACGTCGAATAAATCGATACTTTATAAATATGCATCTATATATAGATTGTTTTTAATAAATGTTGATTATTTTGATCAAAGAGGGAATGAAATAAGAGTAAAAACAAGATACATTTATCATTTTCATCACACAAAAACAGACAAAATTTCTAGAAAAATACGCCTAAATATTATGTGCATTCTTTGTCAATAAACAGAGATTATTCTCTCCACATCGTATGGAATAAATATGCTGGAATAAATATGCTAGAATGAATATAAACGAAGGAAAAAACAATGTTACACGTACAAAAAAATTAAAATAAGACTAGACTATTTATCCATCAATATCAAGTAGACCTGAAAAATATTCAAATGTTAAATATGCAACTGTTGATGCTGGTAAAACTTTAATAAGATTTGGTAATGAACCAAAATAGAAACCACGCCATCCATCAATTCTATTAAAAATTATTATTCAAATAATCAAAATTTAATTTAATTTATTTTTTACCTCCATATTTTGCCCATCATTTCAAACATATTTTCTGGTACAATTTGATATTGTTGTCTTGTTCTTATAAGATATAATGGATATGAAGCATACATTGCAGCTAAAGCACTAATATTTGATATTACTGTTAAAATCCATATATCTACAAAAGTTTAACCATAAGTGTTTTACTATATTCTAAAAAAAAGTATTATATTTACTAGGTTCTTCTAAAGATGTGACTTTTTCTCGATAGACTCGTCGAAGATATTCATACAATGCAAAATCGATTCCAACAGCAGGCAATACTATACAATTGAAAAATTCTTTTTTCATGTAAACAAATTCAAATTTTTTTTTGTTTTTGTTTACCTCCAAGAGAATTTGCTAAATATCCACGATAGAATACTTTCCAACCTTCACTTTGATGGAGTTTTCGAATAAGATCTATTATAGATTTATATTGACCAGTTGTTCGCATTGCAGCTATTAGTAAAAATAAAACTCGATAAAAATAGTTTCATTAGTGAGAGCTTTGTATTTTTACCTTGAGTTTTGAGTACTTCTAATGGATATATACATGTTTGAGCAATAAAACCAGACAGGCAACCAAGACCAAATAATTCTTTATTTGTTACTGGTGAAACAATCTAATAAGAGAATGTTCGAGAAATTCATATATAACAATAAATCAACTTACAATTTCATCATAATCACCACGAAGTTCTCGAAATGTTTCAAAAACACCTTGTCGAAGAGCCATTTCTGGTGTCATTTTAAATACAGCAATACCATTACCTCGCCAAAATGATCGAACACCTCGAATACCACCTCCACCTTCTCCATATAAAGTACTAAAAAATAAAAATATCAAAAAACATGTTGAATTCAAAATAGTGATATAAACGAATACATTAATCGACGACGATGGCTGAAAATTTCTGAATTTTTAATATGTCTATTTTCTAGAGGTTTCAGGTTTTCGAAGAACTCGAATTTTGACTAGAAACTTTGCCCATATAGAAAACTCAAGTGGACTAGTTTTTATTAAAAAATTCAGAAGTTTTGAACCAAGTCTTTTTGAGATATGAAACTTTCAAAAAATTGCATATTGTACAATATAATCTTACGTTGCTGTATTTAATAACTTTCTCTTTCCCATAGCTTGCATATAAATTTTTAATCGATCTAATGGTGCTGTAACTGTTCGACTAATCATTCCAGAAAGTGCACCGGCAATAAAATGTCGAGCATAAAAACCATTTTCACGTTCTTTTTCGGTGTATGAATTAGGCATTTGTTGTTCATTAATTGTATCTAATTGAACACCACGACGCCAGGAACGAAGTGATGCTTCTAATTCAGTTGATGGTGCAAAACGAAAATATGTTTGCCATTCAGAAAATGTTATGTGAAAATCTTTATCTCTATCAAGTACTTCAATAATTTTCATTAAATCTTTTTTTTTCAATACAATTTTTAAACGTGAAAATGCTTTAGCTAACTCAACAGGATCAACTAAACAGAAGAAATAAATTATTAAAATATATACGAATATAAAAGATTTTTCAACTTACCAATACCATCTTTATTCAAATCGATTTCTTCAAAACTAAAAAAAATAATTATGATGATTTGAAAATGACTCTAGTGAATGTATTAAGTGAAAGGTATTCGTGGGCTAGGTCAGTTACCACCTAGGTACTTTATCAGATACTCTGCTGAATTTTGTCTCACAAGAGAATTGTTTCAATTGATAAATCGGTTTTTTTGACTAGAGTTACAGATATTTTACATGAATTTTAGGCTGTAAACCAACAAATCGAATGACAGTATTTCGGCCTCAAATTTATGTAAAATGGCTATAACTCTGAAGATAAAATCTAACGACACTGTTTTGTAGCTTTTCATATCTCACTAGAGTCTACATTATACATAGAGTCTGAACTCAAAAGCGATTTATCATTTGAAATGACTTTCTCGTTAGTACATGGATACTTACAAGATATCCACTCAGTTTCTATAGTATTCTATGAAAAATTTTTCAACAAATTAGTAGACTGAATAGTTAGAAGCATTTTGTAATCAAGTGCTAAAAATCTATAAATTACTCAAAAGGCTTCTGTAAGAATAGCATGGTATCTTGAACGTTAGTGTATTCACTAGAAGAAGAGGTATTTTACCTTAATTTTAATTGTTTTTGTCGTTCGAGCATTATTTGAAGAAATTTGTGTCCATCAATTCGATCACCTTTTGGTTTAAGTGAACGAACTAAAATATATAAATAATGAATATAGAATTAAAATAGAAATAAATCGTTGTTTTTTTGCTATACTTTCTGTTTTTTTTAATAATTAACTTCACTCACTGAATTTTTTGACTTGAGTCTTTCGTTCAGCTTTAGATCGATTATCGTCATCAATACGTTGTAAAGCAGCTTCTAAATCTAAAATACGTATTCGACCACTTCCATCTTTATCAAGTGTTTGTACAATATCTTCCAATTCTTGAATACTTTCATTATTTTGATCAGTTATTTTCTTTCGACTGAAAATAAACATATGAATTGATAGACTGTTATTGTTGTTATGATTGTTCTGAAATTTATTCTAAAGAAAAGCAGAGAGGAAAAAACAAATTCGATCAAAAGAATGAATTTTTATTTTTATGTACAATTTTCAAAATAGAGATTAATAATTCAATTAATAAATATCAGACATATAAATTACAGAATTTTTTATAAGGAACAAAGACACAAACAACATTACAAATATTGAATTTATTTTCATGATTTCATTGAAATAAATTCACTGTTATATAAGAATAAAAATAAAAATATTAGCAACGACAATAAATAAATATTAGCTTATTTATCATGACTAGATTTGCAAAGTATTGAATAAAATTAATGCAAAAAGAACAGAAAATAAAACGAAAAAAAAAAAGGAAAATATTATTTTGTAAATGGTGGAACAATAGCAATAGGTAATTTCATTGTAGTATTCAATGAATTATTCATCATCATTGGACGGGTTGTATATAATTTAGATGAATATGGAAATGGTGGATTTGCATAATATGATATTGGTAATGTTGATGTTGTCTAAATAAAAATAAAAATAATAATTTTATTCTATTTAAAATAGTTTAAAATAATTTGTAAGAAGACAAGCAGCAAAATGTTAGAGAAATGTTTTTTTTTGTCTTAAAAATATGTTCAATTAATAGAATAAAACAACTTCTTGTAAAATATGTAAAAATACAAGAAGGTGATAAATAAATATTGTATGAATTTAGCAGTGTCTTGTTCAGCGTGGAGACTGAGGGGCGGTGCTTCTCTAAAGATCGATGAGTATAAAAAAATGGGCAAAAATCATGTATTTAGGAAAAATTCAAATTTTTGACCATTTTTATTATCGAAACATTGCAAACTATATTTTTTTTCTTATTTTGTCTAAAAGTGAGTATAGCGGTGTCGAACACCCCTCTACTTGTACCCAAGTTTACAAACTTATCTCGCTTTATTGTACGAAGAAATGAAGCCAAGAGTCTTACTTCATTAGAACCTCTCGAGGACGGGCTTTAACAGTACTTATTTAGTCTGTAAAGTTTTTTTGCTATTAGTGAAAACGTGGAAATTTTCGGTGCAAAGAGCGAAATCTTGCAAAAACTCAGCCATTTTGACGATCCCACTGTCAGAAAAGAGCAAAATAAGTGTCATATTCGGAATTAGCTTAAAAACTACATCGAACCACATACATTCCATCAAACAACTTTCTCCATCAGAAATTCACCCACGGGTCAACTACAAGTAAAACTTTTCGAAAATGTAACCTGAAACGCTCACTACTAACAAAAAAACTTTAAAAACTAAATAAGTAGTGTTAAAGCTCGTCTTTGAGAGGTTCTAATGAAGTAAGACTCTTGCCTCCATATCTTTGTACAAAACTCTACATAGATTTGCAAAGTTAGGTACTAGCGGATCGTAGTAGGAACGTTCAACATCGCCATACTCAAACAGATCTTTCACTTGAAAATCGATCAAGTATGACTGCTATACTCAGTTTTAGGTGACAAATAAGAAAATAAAATATCGTTTGGAATGTTTCGATAATAGAAATGGTCAAAAATTTGAATTTTCTCTCTTAAAAGACTATAGAAAAAAAAACCGAAACCTACATAACCGTGATCAGCACATTAAACTCTATCCAATGATATATGAATAAAATTAAAGTTGTTTTCATTCAAATTTTGCACTCTTGGCACTGGCTTCTTATGTATAAAAAACAAAAAGATATCGTTATCGTTAACACTTTCTTATTGATAATGTCAATACATGCTAGAATTATTGGACATCTATCCATAACAAGCCGATATAAGTTAAATTGACTGTCTAATTTGATGGTAATTCCCTAAAATCGGTACCGACTTTCTTGTACGTGCTGTTTCTATAAAAATCTTGGCTATGTATAGGGGCGGGTATTTGAATAAATCATTTCTTGAGCTTTATATTATGATTGTTAAAAATATTATTCTATATAAAGTAGCGACAAAAACTATAGAAATGAAGTATTTTAGAGCTTTTTCCCAAGCTAGAACAACTCAGAGAACAGAATTGATTTGCTGGAACAATTTCCTATCAGAAAAGCCGGTTGCCAAATTCTCATTAACAGGTTTAGATGAAAGATCTCTAAAAAACCAAGATATGCAAATCGAGCTCTGAAAGTTGTGGTTTTCCAGAAATCTTTCATTCAAATCTCTTAATAGGAATTTGACAAATACCTCTTCTGATAGGAATTTTGTTTCAGCTACTCAAATCTTCTCTCCGATTTGTTCTAGCTTGGGAAAAAAGTTCAAAATACTTAGATTCTAAACGTTTTATCTCTACTTTACTAATAGGTTAGCTTATTAGAATCAGCGAAATAGAATTTTCAGTATAATTTTTCTAAAAGCTTGAATCATAGAGCTGTTAGAGTAAATTAAATAAATCATTTTGTTAGCGAAGAAATTCCCTAGCATTCCAATGAATCGATCGATGCTTTTACAAACACTTACAATCGTGTACTATATCGGACTGAAACTTGATTTTGACGTTGGTCTCATAAGATTCTATCTCATAAACGAGATTAAATAACAAAAAATTCTTTAAATAATCTTTTAAACTATTCGTAGGTTAGCATTATAAGCAAGATTAAAGATTAAGCTTTTCTATATTTTTTTTCTTATACTGTAATTCTTTTGTTCAATTAATTTGTCACTTTCTAAAATATATATTTTTATTTTTAATAATTAATCAAATTTAAAAAAAGAAAATCTTATTATATTTACATGAGGTCGAGCTGGAATACTTTTAATATGATGCTGATGAGCTTGGCTCTTAACACTATTTTGAATAGGCATTAATGATTCATGATCATATTGTGACCAATCAGCTTTACATGGCTCAGTTAAATGACCATCCCAATTAGATAATTCATGCTAAATAGAAAATATCGGTTAATAAGAAAATCGTATAAAACACACTAAAAATTGAAATTTTACTGTTCGATAATATTCGATAAGTTCATCAAGTGATTTATGTACTTTTGCTTCACCAATAACATTATATTTCAAATTTTTTAATTGATTAATCATATAATGACGACATCGATCTTCAGCTCTACAAAAATTAATGAAGCTTAAAACTTTTAAAACTATTCTCAAAAATTTTTTTACCTAAATGATAATGAGAAACCAAAACGACTTTCACTAAGACGAATTAGAAAACAACCGATTGATTGTTTTGCTAATAATTCTTCTGCTCGACTATAAAATACAAAAAAAAAAAATCTTTTTACAAAACAAAAAAAAAACAATTTTTCTTTCTTTATCTTACTGTCGAGTAATATTTCCATGAAACCAACTTGGAAATGTTCCCTTCTGACATACATATGGATACTGTGTATCACGAAACCATCTAAAATATAAAATTTCTTTTCTTAAAAAAAAGTAAATAAATATTTAAATCAACCTTAAACAAGATTCTCGTTCACCAGGTGAACCATATTTAAGTGTTAAATAGGAAAGTAATGAATCATAATCAACCATTAATTGATTTGCTGTTAATGTATTTGTCGGTGTTGTTGTTGTTGATGAAGTTTTTGTTGTTGGTGAAGAACATTTACCAGATGTTCCAGTATTACCAGTATGTGATGATGGATGAAGTGAACTTTCACGTACTGGTGGACGAGGTCGAAGATCATCTTCTTGATTTATAACAGGTGCTGTTTTACCTATAAACAATAAAATTTCTATTACTTTCTTACGAGGAAATTATCACAAGTAACACTCATCGTTGGAACTCATATTGGACCTACAGACAAGTCTCGATGAGAACATCAAAATCCTAAAAGAGTTCGTCACTATTGATCTTCGACGCCGACTTATGACCGATTCAATGGATTTTTAATTCCTTTTTAAGTACTCTTCGGAATATTGAATAACGGAGTTTTGATTCGAAATTTTGTCTACAGATAGGTCTAATGACTCTTAGTATATTCTGACAATTTGAACTAAAAAGAATATTCCTTCCTTCATCGAGTTATTGCATTTTCAAGTTAACTCGATGAACGAACATTCTTTTCGGTTGAAACTTTTAAGATATTTTAACAGGCATTAGATCTATCTATAGACAACCTTTTGCATCAAAACTTCGTTATTTGGTCTTCCGAAGAGTATCTAAAAATCAACTGAAAATCCACTAAATCGCTCATAACTTGGCGATAAAGACCTACGGGAACAAATTTTTTTAGGCTTCTGCTAGTCTCATTGAGACCTGCCTGTGGATTCAATATGAGTTCAAACGGCGGATGTCAGTTTGAGTAGTATTCTCGTTAGTACGCTCATTTCAAACAAGTGAGTTTTTGACAATGACACTTTCCATGTGATTTAAAAGCGGACTAAAACAATTGATATCATGTGCGCTATATGAGCAGTGTTTGTCGGTAGTGGCGAAAACTCGGCAATAGTTTGTTACTTTTAAACGATCGGCTTTCTTCTGATCAACATTCTACCGTGTTATACTGATCAGAGGTCTCAATAGACTGGGTCGGCCTTCTTCGGCCTAACTCATTGAGATGTCTGATACTAATAGTTGTTCTCTGATCGGCAATCTACTGCTGTTATACGATCGGTTCTTATGAATGTCGCGATTGTGCAATCGAAGATATGACATGAGTTATCGTGTGTTACTTCCAAAAAAAAAGGTTTAGGAGCAAATTTCGTTTGTCCAATAAGAATATCAAACCTGGAAGTTTATCATTAAGTCGAGTAAGTGTTTGAATAAGTCGACTATTAATATCTTCAATATTAACACAAAAATGATTAACTTCATTTTTGTATGTTTTAGAAGTTGTTTTTAATTTTTTAAATTGTTTTCTTGCTATATAACCACGAAATCCTAGAAAAACAAAGTTATTGAATAATAAAAATTTTGTTTTTTGTTTTTATTTATTAGAAAATTTACTTCGTTGAATTAATAATGCTGCTTGTCGATATTTTTTCATTAATTTTTCCAAATATTCAGGATGATAATATTTTAAAAAAACTTTTGTTTTCCTACAAAAAAACATATTCATGATAAGAATATATTTTTTGTTTTCTTACCCTAATTGCCATTCAGTTAAATTTGTTTCTTCAAGAATATGACGACATTTTATTGATGATAAATCAGATGAATGAGTTTTTGATAAAAGACCGTATCTATATAAATTATAAAATAAATAAAATATTAAAAATAGATATTTTACTTTTGTATGAATTCATCGAAAGATAATCGTACAGAATATCCTTCTTTACGAATCCGAGTCGTTTCCAACATTCCACAATAACGAAGCTAAAAGATTAGAACATTTTTAAAAAGATCTTTTTTTTTCGTTAAGTATAATTTTACTTGTGCACGAACAAATGTATCATCAAATAAATGTGCTTGTTTTTTTTGATTAGGTTTAAGGCAACGCATAAATACTGGATGTGATGCACACATACGATCCATTAAAATTTGTAAAGAATTCTAATATAGATTTAAAAAAATCAGATGTTTGTATGGTTTTCTTAGAGATTTTATTTACTCGATATTGAGCACCAACTGTTAATCGATTTCGAGCATCTTTTTCAGCTGCTGTTCGATGTTGAAGCTAAAAGAATCAAAATAATGACTTGGTTCTTCTTTTTGTTATATTAGAATTTTTGTTTATGAGATACTCAAAAAAATAACACATAAACTTTCATCTGTTTTAGAATGAAACTGAAAATTTGAGATGACAAGACAGAATAGTCAATTGTTGAGCGCCGTTTAACCCTATATTTTAGGTACGAGTACGATTCGTTGAAACTAAGAAAATTCTAAAAGGGTTCAAATCCATACATTACACAATCAGAGTTACGATTATTTTTATAGGTTTTTTGGACCTTGGATCAGCTATTCATGGAAAACTCAATTAAAAGATTTTCATTTGAAAATTTGTCCATAGATAGATCTCATAATCACTAGAATATTCTCAAAATTTCAACTCAAACAAATGTATTCTTCTTGGGCTGTCAAATATCCAAGGAATACTTATATATCATCAGGCGCAAGCCATCGAATTGAGTTATCTTAGACATATGATATCTCAAGAAAAGTACATTCATTTGAGCTGAAACTTTTATAATATTCTAGTGATCGAATTCTCTAGAACTTTGCTTTTATAATTTCATTCTTAATCAGATTTCAATAGATTTTTCTATTGTATGAATCGGAAGAGAATTTTTAATTTCGCTTGTTTTTTTTAAAAATATAAATCAATATTTGTCATTACTCCTTTATTTGAATTAATAGTTCCATCGGATGGATTTCCATGAAAAAGTAAACGTATAAGATCATCTTGACTATGTTTAAACATATCAACAACACTATCAGATAGTGTATCACGATTTTTTTCCAAAAAACCCAATGCACAATAAGAAACTTTGCCAGCATAATGATGAATTGTAAATGAATATTTATTATTACGCTTTATTGAATAACATTCATGTTTATTTGAACCAAAATGATAATTTAATTTTTCTACAAATGTTTGATCAGTTGCCTATTTAATCAGTACAAGAAACTCAATGATATATATATAATAAAAATCTTTTTCCTTTTTACTTTTGGAAGTCGACTTTCATCATCTAATAATGAAAGAATTCCTAATGGTTTAGCCATAAATAGTTCCTGTAGAGAAAAATAGAAAAAAAAAGAGAAGAGTTTAACTAATACATTCAACTGAGTGTGTTTTTTTTACCAAAAATGATTGATTATCAGTAAATGTTAACGTTTCAGCCATGATACCTTCACTTTCATACTCCGTCATTTCCATACGAAAAACATGCTAAAATAAAAGAAGTAGATAATCATCTATCTTTTGTTAACAAAAATAACATAGAGAAATCTAGAGTTAATTTTTATATGTTAAGTTACTCAAGGTTTCCTGAAAGAATCAGCACGAAGAATCTTTGTTCAAAGGAGTTATCAGTAAAAAAAACTAACGTTAAAAAGGACATCGACTTTCATTTCATATATTTAAGTTTAAAAACACTCATTTTTGAAAACTAAATAGTATATTCAGTAGAAAGAAAATTTCATAATTATTTACTTGATTAAAGAAATATTGTATTTGTTCATTGGCTAAATTGATACATAACTGTTCAAAACTATTTAATTCAAAATGTTCAAAACCTATTATTGAACAAATATTCTTTAAATTTTAATCTAGAACAATCTTCTTCTTTTTTTTTTCTTTACCATAAATATCTAGTAAACCAATTTCAACAATATGATGATATTGTTGAATAGGATAAGGATTATTTAATGTTTCATTTATTTTTCCAATAATCCAAGAAAATAAACGTGCATATAAATGTTTTGATAAAGCATCACGAGCATCTAAAATGAATAATTTTCTTTTCTTTTTTTTTTGTTATTACGAAAGAATAAAATAAAAATAATTCTTTTTCTTAAATACCTTGACTCGATTGTAAACTATATTTTCTAATAACGCTTTCATTACGAGTCAATGTTGTCATTGTTGTTAAACATTCCATAATTAATTTAGAATTAACACCAAACATATTCTAAATAGATTTTAAATATTATTAAAAAAAACAAACCAATATATATTATTATTATTATTATTATTATTTTAACATACAGCAATAATTGCGAGATTATTCTTAACTTTTTCTTCATCGAAATTTTGTCGTGTAAAACCTTCATCATCAATAGAAAATTCAAGGTTACCAATAGTTAAAATACCAGATAATATACGAAACATGGAATGTTGTTCCTGAATAAAAAAAAATAGAAATTAATATTATATTTATAATAATAGAAATAATTCTTTTGAATAGAATGAATTTTTAATGAAGGTAAGTTCCTTTTACCTATGGTCTAAACTAGAAAAATTTTCTATTTGTATTTATTTAATTACTTTCAAATTGTAAAATAAAATTAATCAAGTTTTTTTTTTGTAGTGCGATGAATAGATGTCGAATATTTCAATTTTCATTAGAAATCAATTACTACGCGATCCACACAATCACGCTGTATGCTAGCAATTACTCCTATGCTTTTACATACAATTTAATAATTGTGACTGTCATCGCAATCAAAAATATTAGTCATGCAGAACACTAATGAATGGTCCCTTAGATTACAAATTGAATTCAAGCAATGAAAAAAAATAGCCTTAGTTAGTGTTGATACCTCAAAATTTTTCTAATTCGTTTTATATCGAATAGTACATATTGATCCTGAAGAATTATGAGAGAAGATTTTTTTTTTTAAATTCATACTTTATCAGTAAAATTAAGCAAACCCATTGCGTTAATCACTTCATCTAATGAATTTACAGAACCATTATTTTGAATATCTAACGATGAATTTGTCAAAAGATATCTTTGAAATAAATAAAAAAAGCAAAAGTGAATATTATATTCTTGAAAATTTTTATTTCCTTACTTATAATCATATTTCGTTCGTAGACACAACATTTGTTTGATTTCAAATGGGAGATAATCAAATAAATAATAAAATATATGAAAATTTTTTTCGCCCGGACTTTGTATTACTACACGTGATTTTTCTAGTAAATAATCACTTATTTGAGCACCAATAACTAAAACAAAATTCAATAGAAATTTATTAAAATATTTTTTTTTTATTTACCTTTGCCATTAATAAAATTTAAAGCAAGATATTTTCCAAATCGACTTGAATTATTATTCATCACAGTTTGTGCATTACCAAAACTTTCGAGTAATGGTGTTGCCTGAATAAATCAATAATATAAGATGGTGAAAAAAAGATTCAACAATATATTTTTCTATAATGTTAATCAATTAGCTCAAATCCAGATTGTGATTTTAATAGTTTTCTATCTAATACATTCTATAGTGAGATTTCATAGATGAACTATGATGGTAAAGTATCTAAAAAACCTGGACATGGTAGTTTTTAAATCCCAGAAACTATGTTTTAATACTGACATTTTAAAGATTACGACCTTCCTTTAAAAAGTTCGAAATATCATAAAAACTGAAAAAAGTCGGTTTTTACTGGATTTTTTAATAATTTACTTTGCCATTATATTTAGGATTGAGCTAAAGTTCTGATAACTTTACTGATAATTTTATAAACCAGTTAATTGCATAGATAAATAGTAGAATATCTTGTCTATAATAATATATATAACAACTCCATTTTTGGTTTAGTTTCAGTACTCGTTTAGATGTAATCCAATTCTTACTACTTATGTTATATTATTACAGGAGATGAAATATGGATTTATTGCAGACAGGTTGGATGCAAGTCAACTACCGATAATTGGATTGGTTAATGTGAATCGTCAACGACTATTGTTCGCCGAAACAAATTTGAATCAAAAGCTTTGTTTTGAGCATTCTTTAAATAAAATGGTTCTATTCTTATACATAGCGTAGATAAAGGTAAGACTATGAATCACAACTATTATATTAAATATTGCCTCAAACCTGTCGTCAATGAAATATGAAAACAAAGAAAGCCATCAAGTACATAAGGTAAAAAATTACTTTACGACAATTCTTGATCTCATACTCATCCAGATGGTAGTAATTATTGAACACAAGAAGGCATCAATATAATCCCATATCCATAATTGTCGTCAGACTTTCCATCATGTGATTTTTGGTTCAATGATTATATTAAGTGTAACTTAACTGATCAAACAAATGAAAGATGATTGGCTCGAGTGATTTTCAAGATGGGTTAAAAAGGATAGTTTCTTTTATTTCATATTATCAGAACTTTTGGTTAGCCCCTAAGTAGTTCATCTATGAAATTTTGGTATAGAATAAATTGAATAGAAAACTTCACTAGTTATTAAAATCACAATCTGGATTTGAGCTAGATACTTAACATTATGAAAAAATATGTTGTTATTGAATTTTTTTTCCATCACTTTACATATATATATATATATACGAATCCTTACTTGTAAAATTTGTTGTTCTAATTGAGAACTACCACCACATAAATACATTAATTGTTTTAAAAAGAATTTTGTACTTTCCGTTTTTCCTGAACCTGATTCACCACTAAAATTAAATTAAAAATAAAACATAAACTTCTTGAATTATTTATTTATTTAATTATTTTCTTAACCTAATGACACAACATTGTCGCTCGTATATACCATGACAAACATTTCGATAAACAAGATCAACAAGTGCATAAACATGAGGTGGTTTATGGATATCAGTTGAATATCGATAAAAATCACGAATCTAAAATAAATAAATAACTTAATATACAATGAATAAATGTTTTGTTATGATTATTACCTGTGAAGTATAAAGACTTGTTTCATTAAATGGATTGACAGCTACGAGAATATCTCCAAGATACGTCTAAATATCCAAAAAAAAGAAAATAATTCAACAAAAATTTCTTTTTTTATTTAATATACTTACATAAATTAAATCTCTTTCATATCGTTCTTTTAAATGTTCAAGTAAAATATCTTCTGTTAAAAGACTAAGTTTAGCAAGATCATCATTTTTGTCTACCATTGATATAGTATCTTTAATAGATGAATATAATTGTTGCTCGTGCGTCAACATAATTGTAATAACATCTGGAAGATAAATGAAATTAAAGAAAAGAAGAAGACAAAAAGAATTTAAGATTATTCAACAATTAGTCTGTCTCGTCGAGTACTATCGTTCTCAATAGCTTATATTATTCGTTTACGGTGTCATCAGAACATGTTCAACACCTTTTCTTCGGTAAGATGATACGCGTGCACCATCACGACTATGTCTTCCTTTTCTCATCCGTGTGCAAACAAAACTCATCAAAACAAAAGAGAAAATGAAGAAGTAGGAGGAGGAGGGGGAGGGGAGAAGAGAAAAAAATGAAGAAAAACATACATTATCAACATTGATAAAATAGGCAATTTAGAATATTCTTTTCTCGCTCATCAATCGAATAATCAATCACTCTTCTCTCCTATTGAACTCTATCATATAATCATCTCATTTTTCTACCAATACAAGGATAATGATAAAATTAAACAAAAAAAACTATTTAATAACAAAATCAGTCCTGCTGATTATTTCTTTTTTCTTTGTTGTCATTGTAGATCACACAAAATGTTAATACAAAAAAAGAAAAAAAAAACTTAAAGAATGTTAACGATTTCTTTTCTTCTTTTGCACACACAAACACAGAAATCACCGGAAATCAAAAGATTGATATAGTATAAATATATACATTCACACACGCACATGCACGCAATGAATAAAAAACATTAGTTTATTTTTTATCAAATTGGCCAGTAAGTACTTGAGTAACATAATTGATCGTTGTTGGATGTTTTAAAATAGCTAAATGTTCAACACCAGGTATTTCTAAACTATGTATATCTTGTTTTTGTTTATTTTCCCAATTTTTAAATCCAAGTAAACTTCTTATATTAACTGTACCATCACCATCATCTGGTAAAACAATTGGTTGTAAATCAGGAAATGTACGATTATCATATAAAAGTACACCTGGTGTTGGTATATGACTACCATATAATTCATGTACTTCAATTTCAGGTGGTTTTAATTCATTTAGTAAATCTTTATTATTCATCCAATAAGCATAACCAGTTGGAAACTTTATATCATTAAAAAGTGCTTCATAATCATTAACTGTATAATTACGTTGGGGTGAAACAACAACAATTTCATCTTTATCCCAAAAATTAACACTTGGCATAACAAATGCAGTTGAAGGTGCAGAACGTTGATAAGGACGAACACGGATAGGAGAAACAATATATACCTTACAATTGAAGATGTAATAGATTTTGAATATCTAATGGATATTTATTTTTTTTTTTGTTGAAAGAATCGAATTGTTTTATTCATTGTTAAAGGAGATATAAAATAAAATCTAGATGATTTTCTAGTTCACATTATTTTATGTAATCAATTTGCATATATTGTTACATTCTATAGAAATTATTACGAAATGAGAAGAATACCCATGATAGAAAAGGACAAATTGTGATTACATAATAATGTGTTTTATAAACTGATTATTATCGAACAGCAGACTTTTATTTGATTTGTACTATAAAAAACAACTCGGCATTTCCTAATTCTCTATTCATTAGATTTTTATTCTATGATTTATAAATAATGAAGGAAATCTATTGAAATACTTTTTTTTTCCCGTTCTGTTCTAATTTAATTCAATCATAGAATCGTTTCTAATCTTATGAGGATATTGTTCGAAGTCTTTCAAAGCTTTTAATCCCATAGTTTTATGCATAAGTATTGTATCTGTCAACCACAAGAAACCCTAGAGAATATGAATTTATGTACTAATTTGGTTGAAATATCGAAATTTTCCTCTAGAACTGTGATTTTTCATCAAAAAAAATATGTATATTTTTTGAAAATTTAACTTGACACTTTAGTTACATCAACTAGATTGTGTTGTATAAAAAATTTCAAGTTAAAATGCAAAAGTAAAATTTCGCTGAAAAATCAGAGATCTAGAAGAATAAAGATGTTTGAAAAGCTTTAAATCACTTGGAACAATATGTTGGCAACTTTTTTTTTTCGTATATCTTACATCAATATTATCTCCACTAATCATTAGTCGAAGTGCTTTTATAGCACCACCCCATGGTGCAGCAATATTAATCATTGAACGAATATATTTAGCTTTAAATTCAGATGTTTGTTGATGAAGCCAATATAAAGCAAACGGGCCTAAATAAATCCTCATTTAAAATTCTTATTATTCAAAAAAACAAAAAAGAAGAAATAACGAACCTCCCATACTATGTGTTACAAGTACAACTTGTGTTTGATTATTTAATTCATATGTATCTTTGACTAATTGAGTAAAATTAGCAAAAAATTCATCTTGTTCATCTAAACCTCGACGAAAATCATATCTAACAATAAGAAAAAGTATGATTGATTTTTTTTTGTTTTCCAATAAAAAGAAAAATCATACGGAGCTCCACGTAAATTAACACCTCGTGTATAACCAAGTGTAACAAGACTTCGTACGATAGGTGCAAAATATGACGAATAAGGAAAACCAGATGAATCAAAATATTCAACAGTTGATGTTCCTCCAAAACCTGGTATTTGTGTTTCTACACCTTCTAAATTCGATGTTTTTTTTGTTGTTTCATTATATGTTAAACGCATATTATCAACAAAACAATCGATAACTTCAGGAAGAATAAGACGAATATCCAGCCATAATTCAAACCAATTCGAATGACGACTACAAAAAAAATGTGGTGGAGGAAGTGTACGATTTAATCGTGCCCAGATTTGTGAACCGCCATCACCCGGAATAAATATAGCTGGATAATGAACATTAACAGCATGAATATTATTAAAAATATAGATGAAAGAAAAGAGAAATAAATGATAAATCATATGTCGAACAAAAAGGAATGATTGTTATAAAAGTAGAAACAAGTAAACAACAATCTAAAAATAATATTTTAAATAACAATGGTTTATATTGTAATTGTTTTTCTCTTTGTTTTTTGCTCACACCATATGATGATTTTTCAGTGTCCTAACAATTGGATAGATAAGAGTAAAAAGAATAAGAATCTGAAACATCAGACACGAGATGATTTTTAGCCAATGAAGTTTTCAACTTTGTCCTCTGTTGATTCAATAATTTAAAAATAGGTATCATATTTGATTTTCATTTCTTCTAAATTAATACAAAAGTTTTGATTACATTTGAATTAGTTCGAATTATTGTTTAAGTTCACATCTGCTGGCGACATCTAAAGAATCCATCCCGATAACATTTGTCAAAAATCATGATTAAAAATTTAACACATCCATTCATCTTTTGCATCGATTAATGGAATAACCATCTATTTTGTTTATATTGTATCAGTGTTCCAGGATAAATTACACTAAACCTTGGCATATTTTTCTCTCATTTACTAATTATAAAAAAATTTTCCTTGTTTTCCAAAAGAAAGAGAATTTCAAGCTCTGCAAAACTGTATTCTTTATTTTAAAAGACCATAATTCCTCTCATTTGTAACATTTGATATATTTGATTGGCCTAACTTGAGATGATACTGCGACGTATAATTTCAAGTCGAATATTTTTGACATCTTGTTTTTGTTTTCTCAATTACTATTTGCTTATTTGTTATACAACTTCAGTCCATTTATTGATGAAATTCGTGCTATATGCAATAGTCCAGCGAGTTAAGATCTACACTGTTCGGAAGCCAACGGTCTTTAATCTAAAAGTCGTTCACTGCCTAACACTTTTTCACTATCTTCCAATGTTATAGGTAAAATTTCTTCGATATATCGTGAACTGTTGATGGTATCTTTTTCAATGATCACACACCTAACCAAATCATAACGCCAGGTGAAAATTGCATTTTACAGTGAATATCACCTATATCATCTGCTTTTTCATGTGTACCAACATAAATTCGATCATTCTATCAGAAAATAAAATCTATTTCGTCTTGAATTCCCTGATAT